AGCCATCATTACGAGTTATGATGACATAAAATTCTAATAATTATGGCTCCCTGATTCATATCCCACAACAGATTTAAAAAGAAAATTAGGGCCAGGCATGGTGGCTCACACCTGTAATCTAGCACTCTGGGAAGGTCAGAGGTGGGCAGATTGCTCGAGGTAAGGGTTCAAACCAGCCTGAGCAAGAGCGAGACCCTGTCTCTACTATAAATAGAAAGAAATTAATTGGCCAACTAATTATATTAGAAAAATTAGCCGGGCATGGTGGCGCATGCCTGTAGTCCCAGCTTACTGGGAGGCTGAGGCAGAAGGATTCTTGAGCCAGGAGTTTGAGGTTGCTGTGAGCTAGGCTGATGCACGGCACTCACTTTAGCCTGGGTGACAAAGTGAAACTCTGTCTCAAAAAAAAAAAAAAAAAACAAAAAAAAAGGAAAATTAGGAGGCTGGGCATGGTGCCTCATACCTGTAATCCAAGCACTTTTGGGAGCCAAAGCAGGAGTATGGCTTGAGACCAGGAATTTGAGACCTGCTTGGGCAAAAAAGCAAGACTTCATCTGTATGAAAAATAAGGAAGATTAGCTTAGCGTGGGGCATGTGCCTGTAGGCTCAGTTCTCAGAGGCTGAGACCAAAGGGTCGCTTGAAGCCCAGGAGTTTGAGGGCTGGCGTGTTACCGTGATCATGCCACTACACTCCAGCCTGGGCAACAGAGTGAAACCCTGTCTCTAAAAAAAAAAATTTATTTAAAAGGAAAATAGGTAATGATGGTTTATTGAAGAAGTTGGGTGCTTGACAACACTGAGCAGTGATGATATAAATAGCATGATGTCAAGGTAAATTAGCTCAAAAGCATTACCCATCTGGAGCATTTGGTGGTAGAAGGGCAAACAGTCCTATAGACCTGTAGCCCCTAGAGGCATCCCAAGTTCACAGGAAAATATAGCTGATGATCATAATCATGACCATGAGCCATGAGTAAAGGGTGATATTTGTTGTAGAAAATTATATAATTCCTTAGAAACATTTTTACCAAATGCTGTTAAAATGTTATGGTATTTAGAGGGAAAGCATCTTAAAAATATATTTGGGGGGAAAAAGACATATTTGGGAAAATGCTCTATTCCTTGCTTTACACATGAGGCATTATTGTAATATTTCAATCTTTCTCATGTTTTTCATTTTGATTTAACACGTTTCAAGCAGTAGCTATTTTTCAGTTGATAACAAGAACGGGAGACGGAGAAGAAAATATGTTTTTACTCTTCTTCCCATAGTCAAACTCCAGTATAAACAGTACCTAGTGGTCTCTGCAAATAAACACCTCCCACAATGGATGTGGGTTTGGACGTAGAGATAGCTTATTACTTCAGATTTTCATTGTATTTATTCATTGGGGCAGTATGAACCCCTTCCTGACTGATAGCATCTTCTTATCTAAAGGACTTTGATTCTTAATGAACAGGTAAGAAAAGAACTTGTGATTTATGAAATAAGAGAGGTAGCAGTAGCAACAGCTTCTCCCGTTCAGTGATTATTGTAGCAAAGTCAAGCCTGAAACAATGAAGAATGAGGTCATGCACTGCCTGACTCATTTCAGTACAATACACAAATGGCTTCATTTTATAGAATGAGCTATTTTAGCACTTCTCTAATGATGTTTTGATTAAAATGAAATAAAATACATAAAGAAGCAACCTGTTGGCTGGGCGAGGTGGCTCACACCTGTAATCCTAGTACTCTGGGAGACCAAGGCGGGTGGATCGTTTGAGTTCAGGAGTTTGAGACCAGCCTGAGCAAGAGCGAGACCCTGTCTCTACTAAAAATAGAAAGATATCTTCTTTCTGGTTGTTCAGTCAAAAAAAAGAAAAAAAAAGTAAGTAAAATATAGAATGAAAAAGTAATAATAGTAAAAAATAAAAATAGAAAGAAATTAGCTGGACGACTAAAAATATATAGAAAAAATGAGCCAAGCACGGTGGCACATGCCTGTAGTCCCAGCTAC